CCTCCTCCTCCTCCTCCTCCTCTACCTCCTCCTCCCCCTCCTCCCCCTCCTCCTCCTCTTCCTCCTCCTCCTCCTCCTCCTCCTTCCTCCTTCCTCCTTCCTCCTTCCTCCTTCCTCCTTCCTCCTTCCTCCTTCCTCCGTTACGGCCGCCAGGAAGTACGAGGTCATGCAGCAGGCGGCCTTCGGCGTCCAGCAGGCGAAGGACGCCTTGGCGCAGGCGGAGGCTTGGCACGTCGCGGCCGTCGATGATGCTGTCGACGCTGCCTCGGCCTTGGAGGAGGACGAGCGCACGGCGTTCATGGTGAAGCTCGGCCTCCCGCCCTAGAGGGCGGCCTTGTCGTGAGTGCCGCGGAGGCTCGTGTCCTCCTGCGGCACTCCTGGTTCGGTGCGGAGGCTCGTGTTCCTCCTGCGCCCTGCCTGGCTGGCGGAGGCTCGTGTTCCTCCGCCGCCTGGGCCTTTTCGCGCGGAGGCTCGTGTTCCTCCTGCGCTGTGATCTGCAGTCGCGGAGGCTCGTGTTCCTCCTGCGGCTGGTGCCCTGGGGTTGCGGAGGCCCGTGTTCCTCCTGCGACCCCAGGGGCTGCGGAAAGATTGGTGCCGCGTGAGCGGCGGTCAGCAGAGTCCAGCAGAGTCCTCCTCCTCTTCCTTCCTCCTCCCCCTCCTCCTTCCTCCTTCCTCTTCCTCCTCCTCCTCCCCCTCCTTCCCCTCCTCCTCCTCCTCCTCCTCCTCCTCCTCCGCCTCTTTCCTTCTTCCTCCTTCCTCCTTCCGCCTTCTCTTCCCTCTCTCCTCCTCCTCCGTCCTTCCTCCTTCCTCCTGCCTCCTCCTCCTTCCTCTTCCTCCTCCTTCCTCCTCCTCCTCCTCCCCCTCCTCCTCCTCCTCCTCCTCCTCCTCCTCCTCCTCCTCCCCCTCCTCCGCCTCCTCCTCCTCCTCCTCTTCCTTCCATCCCTCCCCCCTCCTCCTCCTCCTCCTCCTCCCCCTCCCCCTCCCCTCCTCCTCCTCCTCCTCCTCCTCCTCCTTCTTCTTCTTTTCCTTCCTCCTTCCTCGCTTCTCCTTCCTCCTTCCTCCTATCCTTCTCCTTCCTCTCCTCCTCCTCCTCCTCACTCCTCCGTCCTCCTTTCCCCTCCTTCCTCGCTTCCTCCTTCCCTCATCCTCCTCCGCCTCATCTCCCCTCCTCCTCCTCCTTTCCCTTCCTCTTCTCCTTCCTCTTCCTCCTTCCTCTTTCCCCTCCTTCCTCCTTCCTACCTTCCTCCTTCCTCCTTCCTCCTTCCTCCTCCTCCTCCTCATCCTCCTCCTCATTCTCCTCCTCCTCCTCCTCCGCTTCCGAACGACCCGCATCCTCCGATCCCAGGGCCTATTCCTGGCATCCCCGCTCCGCAAGCTCGAAGCGGAAAAAACGCCCGGAGGCGCCGCCCCTGGCGCGCTCCGCGCGGATCCAAGAAATCCGCGCGGAGCGCGCCAGAATTTTCTGCTCGCGTGTCGCTCTCCTCCTCTTCCTCCCCCTATCCTCCTCTCCTTCTCCTCTCCTCCTCCTCCTCCTCTTCCTATCCTCCCCCCCTCCTCTCCTCCTCCTCCCCCCTCCCTTCCTCTCTCCTCCTCCTCCTCCTCCCTCCCTTCCTCCTCCTCCTCCTCCTCCTCCTCCTCCTCCTCCTCCTCCTCCTCCTCCCCCTCCTCCCTCCTTCCTCCTCCCCTCCTCCTCCTCTCTCCTCCTCCTCCTCCTCCCCTCCTCTCCTCCTCCTCCTCCTCCTCCTCCTCCTCCTCCTCCTCCTCCTCCTCCTCCTCCTCCTTCTCCAATTTCATGCTCGTGTCGCTGTTTCTTCTCCTGCGAGCTCCTGGTCCAGGACCTCCGGCTCCAGGAGGCAGCTGGCCAACCCCACCTGGCAGCCCAGATGCCCCCCGGCGAGTTCGCGGCTCCCCGGGGGCGGAGGCGACCTCGAGGCTCCCGGGGGGGGGGGCAGGCGCGGCAGGTGGGCATGCGACATGGGCGGCACGAGCGACATCCAGCGAAGACGAAGGGCACGACGACGCCGACTCCGACCTCGCTTCCTCCCCCGCCCGCGGCGGATCCAACCCTCTGCCACTCTCCCCCGCCTGATCGAGTCGATCTCTGGCCCAGGTGGAGCATCACCCGAACTCCTGTGGGGCTGAGGTGGCAGCTGCGGCTGGTGGCTTCTTTGGTGGCGCGACCAATCCCTGCATCTTGATGCACGCCTCTGTTCCGATGCCCGCCTTCTGCTCCGGGGTGAGCTGGGCGAGGAGAAGCGTGAGAATATGTTTCATCTCCGAGGGCTTCTCCTAGTCCTTTTGACTGCCGCCGCCGTTGTTGCCCGCGCTGCTGCTGCCGCCCTGCCCCTGCTTGTTGGGCAGGTCGAAAGGCTGCTCGCACAGGCAGAAGACCTTCTTGCGTGCCTTGCTCAAGTACTGTCGCTCTCCACAATGTGAATAGACGCAATATGCGCGGTGCCTCTGCTGTTATTGCCGCTGGTACTGCTGCTGGTAGGCCCACCAGGAGTTGCCCCCCATGACTGCTGGATCAGTCGGGGTCTGGAAACGACTGATCGCGACCCCGGAAACCGGAGGTCGGAGAAGGACTTCCCCTTGAAGCTGGAAGGGTCTGGAGCCAAAGTGGCTTGAGCCAAGATGGATTGAGCCAAAATCGCTTGAGCCAAATGGCTTGAGCCAAAACGGCTACGGAGCCTCCTCCTCATCCTCCTCCTCCTCCTCCTCCTCCTCCTCCTCCTCCATTCCTTCTCCTTATAGATAGGTTCTCCCTGTCGCACGCCGATGCCAGTTTTTAGGTCGGGCCGGGCGTTTCGCCTGAGACTACCCGGTTATGTGTGACCCTGAAGATTAAAAAGTTACAACAGCTTCACAGATGGAGGGCGGGTGGTTTTCAAAATGTGGCTCTCGCCTCAGCGCCGCGCACATTTGTTTTAAAAAATTACAAGAGGTTCACGGATTCAGGGCGGGTCGTTTTTCAACATGTGGCTCTCGCCCCAGCGCCGCGCGCATTCGTTAAACAAAAACTGCAAGATCTTTACGATTCTTCACGGATTGAGGGCGGGTGGTTTTGAAAATGTGGCTCTAGCGTTAGCGCCGCGCACAGTCGTTTTACAAAATGTGCAAGAGTTTCACAGATTCAGGGCGGGTAGTTTTCAAAAAGGTTTTAGAAAATTGCATGAGTTTCACGGATTGAGGGCGGGTCGTTTTCAAAATGTGGTTCTCGCCTTATCGCCGCGCACATTCGTTTAAAACATAGCAGGAATTTCACAAGATGAAGGCATATTCTTTTCAACATGTGGCTCTCGTTTGTAGCGCCGCGCACATTCGTTTTTCAAATTTGACAGATTTTTACGGATTCCCATGATCATCGTACTCACCAGACATGGTGTTTTTGGAAGGGCTCAGGATTATGCGGGCGCAACAGTTATGTTGATCCGCTGTGCTGAAATCCCAAAAATGGTGTTTTGTCACGATTCTGGATCGTCAAGACGCAGCAGTCAGGTTGATACGTGGCGTTGCAATCCCGAGAACAATGTTTTGGCACGCTCCAGGATTTTCACAACTGTTGTCTTCCAACGAGGCAGTTCCCTCAATGGAAATGAACCGTTGTAGGGGCCTATGAAGAGGGAGCTTGGAGGGAGGCTTAATTCCAACATCGTTGATGACTCTTGGGTTTCCACTGGTCCTCCTCCTCCTCCTCCTCCTCCTCCTCCTCCTCTTCCTCCTCCTCCTCCTCCTCCTCCTCCTCCTCCTCCTCCCCCGAGTGCGATCTGGGAACCTTGGGGGGGGGAGGGGGGGAGGGGGCCAGCCAAGTGTCTCACGCGCCCTCTCACCACACTGGGCAGGCGGGGGATCGGCGGACTGAGCAGGGCGGATCGTCGCAGGGTTCGGCCAGGCGCCGCACGTCGCCGCCTCGTGGGCGCCTCGTGCGCTGGCCGAGTGCTCCTGGCTTGCGGCCAGTCTCCGCCCGTGGCCGCTGCGTGCACCGGCAGGCCTTTGCGCCCCACAGCCTGCACCGCACACGTGGCACCCCGCAGACTGCGCCACCTCGATCGCTTCATGTCCGTTGCATGACGTCGGCTCTCTCTCTCTCTCTCTCTCTCTCTCTCTCCTACAACAGAGTAGGCTCTGCCCCGTGTCGCGGCTGGACTTTTCCGTAAACCACTCCGCGAATTGCGCTTTGATGGAAGTGAACACGATCGTTTGCCATGGCACGCCAGTGCCCCAGCCAGGCTGGTATCGATTCCCCCGCACCCGTGTCAAATAATGTCATGCGACACACACACACACACTCGTTGATCTCACAAGCGCGCTTCATGCGAATCTCTATCAGACAGTATCGCGCGGGCCAAACGCTTGAGCCTCCCGCGCGCGCATGCCGAAATCATTGTTCAGGAGGGAGGACCCGTCCGTCCGCCGTCCGTCGTCCGCCGTCCTTGGGGGAGCCGTAACCTGTGGCATGTGTTTTCGCGTCGTGCCGGCAATGGAAATCGACATTGATAGTCATATGACGATGAGGAAGAGGAGGTGAAGGTGAGCGGGGGGGGGGTGGCGAACAAGGGGTATGATGAACATGAAGATGGTGATGATGGTGGTGATGATGATCGTGGTGATGATGATGACGATGATACTGATGATGACGACGACGATGACGATGATGATGATCATCGTCATCAGTATCGTCCTGGTGATGGTGGTGATGATGGTGGTGATGGTGATGCTGGTGATGAGGCTGGTGATGATGATGATGATGATGGTGATGATGATGATGATGATGATGATGATGATGATGTCATGGACAATTCCGCAGATTTCACGTTCAACCATGGGGGGAGGCAAGGAGGAGCCGAGACACCGCTTTGCTCCAACGCCATAATTGATATCATGTTATCTGCTCTGGTGGGGGAGTGGCAGAGGATTGGTTTGGGATGAAGCATTGGAGATTTGTTCATCAGTCAAATGTTCTGGGCTGACAGTATTGATATGTTTGCACAGGTGTGGACCAGTCCGTGGAGATGATTTCACAACTTGCCCATCGGCTTGCAGCGTTTGGTATGAAGTTGAAACTTAAGGAGAGCAAGATGATGCCAGGCATGGGATTGGGGCCATCGCCGTCCTATGTTCTCTGCCGGCCACCCGGGCAGGAAGCGATGGGAATTCTTTTGGTGACCGAGACGGGTCTCCTGGGAACACGCTTCGATGGAGCTGCTTGCAGCGGTTTTGCAGCGCGGTTCTTCAAAATTGGCCGAGGTGGGTTTGCGCTGAGCTGGGCCTGTTGCACGCCAGTCACCGACGATCCGACGGCGCAGTTTCTGGCGGCTGGTCATCGGGCGCGTCGGCATCCCTAGAGGCGGCCGGGTCCTGGAGGATGGTCGAGGGTCGCGTCGAAGAGGCAGTCGCTAAACTAAAAGCGAGCAGGAGTGCATAAGAAGGACTGAAAGAAGGAGGGGCATGGGAACCTGGCCACTGAGTTGTTGGTTCAAGCTTCCGCAGTTGGTTGCAACTTGGAAGTCGCTGGCGACCCCGCCCTCTGCAAGCATCGAGATGGGTTGCTGCATGGCGTCCTACCGGTCGCAGGCTGGGGCATTGCCAGCTCGCCGGGGGGAGGAAGGGAGGAGGGGGGGGGAGGAGGAGAGGAGTAGGAGGAGCAGGAACAGGAGGATGAGGAGGAGGAGGAGGAGGAGGAGGAGGAGGAAAAGGAGAAGGAGGAGGGGAGGCGAGAACGAGAAAAAGAGGGGGTGGGGGACGGGAAGGTTGGACGATGAGGGGCAATTAGTCGGAAGAGAGATGCGAAGGAGGAGGAAGGAGGAAAGAGGAGGAAGGAGAAAAGAGGAGGATGAGGAGGACGAGGAGGAAGGAGGGGTGAGAAGGAGGGAGGAGAAGGGATTGGAGGCAACCTCCAGTTGACATCCCGCCCGCTGCCCCGTCCCCGCCTCCCGCCCCGCCCCCCCTCCTTGACCCTGACCCCCACGACAATTTCACAATATGAATACTACTCTCCTGTCTCCCCTGATGACGTCCGGAAGATATTCGCCCACCCCTCTGCGTATTGTTTTCTACACAGAATTCCCGGGAGTTGGGTTTTCGCTGGGGCTTTGGTTTCAAAATGTTGTTGCCGCTGAAGCGTTGGCCTCATTTTTGGGCTTCCGCTCGTTTCGAATCACGCTCCCGCTGCAGCGGTGGCCTCATTTTCCGCGTTTCCGTTCGTTCCGATGCGTGTTCCCGCTGCAGCGCTGGCGACATTGTTTCCAGTGCCATGCCACGGGATGCAACGCAATGCTAAGCGGCGTTCCTGTACGATGCCACGCCTTCAGTTGCAATGCTAGGATATGCAGTGCTTGACTACGCAATGTCACGCCATGCTATGCCATGTTACGCTTTGATCTTCAACGCCATGCTATGCCATGTTCTCTTCTGTGCCGCTTTGGCTCAAGCCGTCTGGCTCAAGCCAGGAGCGGCCCAAACCCCCCGCCCGCCTGCCGGCAGGGGCCCGGCGGCCGCCCCCCCGAGAGAAGCTGGAGAGGCGTGCTCCGCCTCGGCCACGCCCAGCGCGCGGGTCGCGGCCGGGCGAGCCATGCATCCGAAGGGGGTGAAGAAGCATATCAAGAAGGCCCAGCGCGTCGAGAGTGGCGACGGGGGCGCTGGGCTGCGCCGCTCCAAGACCGTGGAGCAGATCTACCAGAAGAAGACTCCCGTGGAGCACATCCTCCTACGCCCGGACACCTACGTGGGCTCCGTGGAAAAGCAGACAGCCTGTGGATCTGGGACAGCAAGAAGGGGGAGATGGACTTCCGCAACGTCACCTACGTGCCGGCCCTCTACAAGATTTTCGACGAGATATTAGCGAATTCTGAGGACAACCTGCAGCGCGACAAGACCATGAACTACATCAAGGTTGAGATCGATACGAAGCAGAAGCGCATCAAGGTCACCAACAATGGCAAGGGGCTGCCCATAGCGATTCACAAGAAGCACAAGGTTCGCGTGCCTGAGCTTGTCTTCGGGCACCTGCTCACTTGCGACAACTACGACGGCTACAGGACTGGGACAAGGGCTGGGACAAGGGGATACGGCAACAAGACCTGTCAACTTCCCAAGGGGAGCTCGGGACAAACGACCTGGGGTGCCGGGGGATCGATGGGGGGCTACCGTGCTCCATGGACCCCCCCCCGCCGGAACCCCGGGGTCCCTCGCCCGCTTCTGGTCCGGTCCATTGTACCTCACCGCCCCGCCCTTTCTTGCGCCTCCCAGTCAGTGATCCTGCAGGACTGTCGGATGATTCGTTGGAAATGGCGACTTCAGAGGTGCTGGAGGCGGGCTCTGGGTACATGGTCGACAACACCGACACAGGCACCGACGCCAGCCCAGACACCAACATCATCGACGCCAGTATCACCGACGCCGGCACCGACGCCAGCATCACCAACGCAGGAATGCCGCCCTTCGTGAAGACGCTGAAGGGGAACACCCAGCTGGAGGAGGACCAGGACTGGTCGCTGATAGCGGTCCACGAGGCGTTGGCGGCGGACTCCGCGCAACGGCCAGGGGACTCCTCGATATTTGAAGCGGGTTCCGGAGCGGTGAAGGGGTGCAACCACCAGCCCACCGAGACCTGGAAGGGCGCCCCGCAGGACTACCAACACATCAGCATCGACACCAGCATCGCAGGCGACAACGGCCGCATCAACACCAAAACTAGCACCATCGCAGGCACTCGCGCCAGCACTGACGCCAGCGTCCATGGCAGCTCCGACGCCAGCACCCACAGCAACAGTCAAGGCTACCACGACAACCGCAACGCCCAGAAAAACCACGACGCCCACGACCACGGCAACCACCGCACCCTCGACAACCTCGACAGCCTGGACACTCACGACGAGCAAGACGACCACGACCACGACAACGATGACAAGGACATCCACGACGATCACAACCCACAAAGTCCACACCAACAGCATGTCGAGGAGCAGCACGGCGAGGATCAGCAGCCGAGGATGGGCTGGAATCCCCCAGAGCGGCAGCGACAGCAGCCGCCTCCGGCGCGAGCCGCCAGCACCCACAGCTGCATTGACGACGGCTCCACCGCCATGCGACTGCATCGACACCTGCACGTGGCACCAACGCCAGCACCCGTCCACGAGCGCAACGGCGACGCCACCCTTCACGACGGCACCCCTCAGACCAATGCCGCCGTCCTGCCCCACGACGCTCTCCACGCCGCTGCTGTTGCCGACATTGGGCTCGACTTACTGTGCTGTGTTGCTTGGACTGGGGGCCCCATCGAAAACCGCAACACGGTCCAAGAGAAAGTCCAGGACATCCCCCACGACACCCATGACGACCAAGAAGACGCGGACGACAACATCGACGTCCACCACGACTCCCACGAGGACCTGTACATCCACCACAGCGTGCACCGCGACATCCACGTCGACCAGGAGGATACAAGCGACCACAACATCCACCACAACATCCACGATGACCAGGGGCAGGCCTGTGGAAACCAGCAGCAGCAGTACCTCAAGCCGCACGACGGCGAGCAACAGCTCGAGGAACAGCACGACGACAGCCGGCAGCAGCAGGGCCCTCAATTTCACGATTGCGATCCTTCTACCGTGGCTACGGATACGTTTCTGTCGCCCGCGGTGCCGCCCCAGGCGCTGCCCAGGCGCGCCGAGCTGCTCCACATCCATTCCAACACGGACGCTCCCACCTCCGACCTCTGCCAGCGGCAATTGCTTGGGCCGAGCCCGGGACAATTGCCGAGAACTTCGGCCGCAACCCACAGCCGCGGAAGCATGCAGCTCTTCGTGAAGACGCTCACGGTGAAGACGATCACAATCGACGTGGTGACCGCTGATACGATCCGCAGAGTGAAGGAGACGATCCAGGACAAGGCAGACATCCCTCCGGCTCAGCAACGCCTGATCTTCGCGGGAAAGCAATTGGACGACAGCCAAACAGCTCCGTGCGGGGCGCGGGGTCCCACAAGAGCTGGGGCCGGGGTAACCTGTTTTACAAATGCGTCCCGGCCGAGGGTTTTTCCCGCGATGCTCCACCATGGTCCCTGGACCATCGAGCGCTGCGGGCCCCTCGGTGACACTCCTTCATGAACCAGTCCCTTGTGTTGGAGTTGCATTGGCGAGAGGGGGCGATGCCAGGCGCTGGAGCCTGCAGGTGCGGGGACCTATAAAGCCAGTCCTGCCATGGGCTCCACCCCCGCCCTCTTGATGACGCCGGTAAGGCGGATTGAATGGCGGGGTGCTGCTCGCTACGGGCAGACAGCGAGGTTGGCGGGCTGGCCTACGGATACCCCACTGCAGCAGGTGACTACCGATGGCTGTGTTCATCCACTCGCAAGAACTCGTCTGAATTCGCTCGACTCGCAGTCGTACTTTTTGCACAGCCGACGCTCGGTAACGGGCTTTCAAGGCAGCGTATACAACATCCAGAAGCACACCACCCTGCACTTGGTACTGCACCTGATGGGGGGAGGCCCGGCCAGCTTACTTACGGCGCTGCACTCCTGCCAGCGCAGCGCGCGCCCGCTCTTCGGCGCCGCGGCTCCAGGAGGGGGCAGATGCCCATCCTGTAACATGGACCGACAGCTGCAGACTCCAGCGACGCCACCACCTGGACATGGCGCAGGCGCTGGGCCACCACGAGACGCCGCAGCGTCTGCTCCACCTGCAACCCCCCCTGGACTACCCGGCCCTCCCCCACAGCGCCCGCCGGCCCACCGACCCACTGACGCCACCAATACGCAACAAGAAACCTCGACCAGGGATGGGGTGATGGACGAAGTACTCGCCGAGCTGATCGATCAAGAGATCTTGGCCCACGAGGACTATATCAACGCTGTCACAAACACACGCGAGCACCCCGACAACCGCCCTCCGATCACAATGGGCGCCCTCCGCACATGGCCATCCTTGACCCCCGTTCTTCACTCCCTCGCTTACGACCCCGCTGCAACAGACCCATGGGCGCTGGTTGGCATTCCGAAATACGAAGGCCCACCCCCCACTACAGAAATGATCTTACGACGAGTGAGCCTCGCCCATACCCTCACATCGGTTTGCCAGCATCCCGGGCGCCGCCTCCAGGAATCGACAGAGGCCAAACTTTTCTTGGAACGACTGGACGCCGCAGGAAAGCAATGTGTTGCCGATCTTCCCCACATGCTCCGGGAGAAACGTAAATGGACGACCGCCCAGAGCCCGCGCTGGCTCGAAGTCGGCACCCCTCTACTCCAATACCTACACGACCGGGCGACCGCTGCGGCACGTTCCACCACCCTCCTCCTTCACATGTCCAACCTCCAAGGTACAGACTTTACACGTTTCCCCTTGGCGCTCCCACCCATCGCTGGTCGACAACGGCACGACGCGTTGACAAAAAGCGATGCGACCATTCGCACCACATTGCAGCAGCTATGCGGCGAGGAACTCTATATGTGGGCTCCGCTGGACGCCGCTGCCATGACACGACTCGCACGCGGCTTCAAGGCCTTTGCAACTACGGCGACCTCCACGACAACCTTGCACCTACTCGTACCGCACGACGTCTACCCAGGATGCACTTCTCCAGCAGAGGTCCTGGACATTTGGGGCCACGAGCTCATGGAGGACCAATGGAAATTCTTTACGCTTCGCGTATCCCCACCAGCCCATCTCAAAACAGCAACTCTTGCGAAGCATGCCGACAGTCGTGTTTTTCAGGCGTGTGTCCGCTTGGCCCCGCATATCTCCCCTGTTCCTCCTTCCTCCCGCCTCCTTGTACATCCTCCTTGTGGTGGGAGCGGGAGAAGGACGAGGCGAAGGAGGAGGGAGAGAAAGCGGTGGGAGGCAAGAGGGATTTAGCGGAGACGACGACCACAGCGATGATCCTAACAACGACGACGCACCCGTCGACGACGACGATATCGACCGCAACGACGACGACGACCACAACCGCGACGACGACGACGACGACGACGTCGACGACGACGACGACGACGACGACGACGACGACGAGACGAAGTGGAGGCCCGCCGCTCCCTGCAGTCCCCGCCCCCCGGGAGGCCTGGTTCACCCGCGGCTTCTACAAGCACATGCTCGGGCGCAAGGCGGGCCGCCAGCGGGCGCGGCGGCGACGACGACGACGACGACGACGACGGCGACCGGTGGGAGTCGTTGGGGCCCCTCGTGGTGTGAGTCGGTCGGCCCCATCGTCCTTGTGTGAGTCCTTCGGGCCCTTCTTCCTGGTGTGAGTCGCTCGGGCTCCTCGTGGTGTGAGTCTTTCGGGCCCCTCGTCCTGGTGTGAGCCGTTCGGACTTCTCGTGCTTCCAGTCGTTCGGGCCTCTCGTCCTGGTGTGAGTCGTTCGGGCCCTTCTTCCTGGTGTGAGTCGTTCGTGCTCTTCGTGGTGTGAGTCGTTCGGGCTCTTCGTCCTGGTGTGAGTCGTTCGGGCTCCTCGTGGTGTGAGTTGTTCGGGCCCGTCGTCCTGGTGTGAGTCGTTCGGGCCGCTCCTCTTGGTGTGAGTCGTTCGGGCTCCTCGTGGTGTGAGTCGTTCGGGGCCCTCGTCCTGGTGTGAGTCGTTCGGGCTCCTCGTGGTGTGAGTCGTTCGGGCGCCTCGTCCTTGTGTGAGTCGTTCGGACCCCTCCTCCTGGTGTGAGTCGTTCGGGCCCCTCGTCCTGGTGTGAGTGAGCCTCTTCGGGCCTCTTGGGAGCCTCTTGGGCGTCTTGGGGGCCTCTTGGCGGCTCCAGGGGCTTCCAGGAGCGTCTTGGATGCCTCGGGGGAGCCTCTTGGGGCCTCTTGGGGGCCTTTGGGGGGCATCTTGGGGGCCTCTTGGATGCCTCTTGGGGTCTCTTGGGGCTCTTTGGGAGGGGTCTGGGAGGTATCTTGGGGCCATCTGTCGGGCGATCGATCACAGATGGGGCGAGCACGTTTCTGCTCCCCCCCGTCGGGGCCAGAATCCTCGAGAGTGGTGTCGAATTTCAGCCCTCCCGGGAGTCGAAAAAGACCCCTCCAACCACCCGCGGAACGCCCTCTCCAGGCCCAGGGGGAGGGGGTAGGGGGAGGGGTAAACCCCTCCCCGAAAGGGAAGAAAGGGGTTGAGAACAGAGCGGGCTCTCTAAACCACTCACGCCCAAAGGGCTGGTGGGATTAGTAGTGGTAGTAGTAGTAGTAGTAGTAGTAGTAGTAGTAGTAGTAGTAGTAGTAGTAGTAGTAGTAGTAGTAGTAGCAGTAGCAGTAGTAGCAGTAGTAGAAGTAGTAGTAGTAGTAGTAGTAGTAGTAGTAGTAGTAGTAGTAGTAGTAGTAGTAGTAGTAGTAGTAGTAGTAGTAGTAGTAGTAGTAGTAGTAGTAGTAGTAGTAGTAGTAGTAGTAGTAGTAGTAGTAGTAGTAGTAGTAGTAGTAGTAGTAGTAGTAGTAGTAGTAGTAGTAGTAGTAGTAGTAGTAGTAGTAGTAGTAGTAGTAGTAGTAGTAGTAGTAGTAGTAGTAGTAGTAGTAGTAGTAGTAGTAGTAGTAGTAGTAGTAGTAGTAGTAGTAGTAGTAGTAGTAGTAGTAGTAGTAGTAGTAGTAGTAGTAGTAGTAGTAGTAGTAGTAGTAGTAGTAGTAGTAGTAGTAGTAGTAGTAGTAGTAGTAGTAGTAGTAGTAGTAGTAGTAGTAGTAGTAGTAGTAGTAGTAGTAGTAGTAGTAGTAGTAGTAGTAGTAGTAGTAGTAGTAGTAGTAGTAGTAGTAGTAGTAGTAGTAGTAGTAGTAGTAGTAGTAGTAGTAGTAGTAGTAGTAGTAGTAGTAGTGCTGGTATTACCAGTATCAGCGGTAGTCGCAAACGTAGTCGTCCACGTCGTCGTCGCAGTAGTTGTCTTCGTAGCAGTAGCAGCCACTAGAGCAGTGGTAGTAGTAGTAGAAGTAGTGGCAGTAATAGTAGTAGTAGCCGTAGCACCATGAGTAGAAGTAGTAGTACTAGATGTCGAAGTAGTCGTAGTACTAGTAGTAATAGTAGTAGTAGTAGTAGTAGTACTAGTAGTAGTAGTAGTAGTAGTAGTAGTAGTAGCAGCAGTAGCAGTAGCAGTAGCAGTAGCAGTAGCAGTAGCAGTAGTAGTGATGGTAGTCGTAGTAGTAGCAGTGGTAGTAGTCGTGGTAGTAGCAGTAATAGGACTAGTAGATAGAAATAGTAGTCGTAAATGATGTAGTAGTAGTAGTAGTCGTAGTAGAAATAGTAGTAGTAGTAGTAGTAGTAGTAGTAGTAGTAGTAGTAGTAGTAGTAGTAGTCGTAGTAGTAGTAGTAGTAGTAGTAGTAGTAGTAGTAGTAGTAGTAGTAGTAGTAGTAGTAGTAGTAGTAGTAGTAGTAGTAGTAGTAGTAGTAGTAGTAGTAGTAGTAGTAGTAGTAGTATTAGTAGTAGTAGTAGTAGTAGTAGTAGTAGTAGTAGTAGTAGTAGTAGTAGTAGTAGTAGTAGTAGTAGTAGTAGTAGTAGTAGATGTCTTTGCGGAGCCTCTTGGACACCTTTTGGGGCCTCTTGGGGGCCTCTTGGCGGCCCCAGGGGCTTCGAGAAGCATCTTGGGTGCCTTGGGGGAGCCTCTTCGGGCTTCTTGGGAGCCTCTTGGAGGCCGTGTGGGGCGTCTTGGGGGCCTCTTGGCGGCCCCAGGGGCTTCCAGGAGCGTCTTGGGTGCCTCAGGGGGAGCCTCTTGGGGCCTCTTGGGAGCCTCTTGGGGGCCTCTTGGGGGCCTCTTGGAGGCCTCTTGGGGCCTCTTGGGGCTCTTTGGGAGGTGTCTGGGAGGTATCTTGGGGCCTTCTTGTCGGCGATCGAGCACAAATGGGGCGGACTTTTTTCTCCCCCCCCCCCCCCGGGGCCAGAATCCTCGTGAGGGGTGTCGTTTTTTAGCCCTTTCAGGAGTCGAAAAAGACCCCCCCAACGACCCGCGGGACTCCCTCTCCAGGCCCAGGGGGAGGGGGTAGGGGGAGGGGTAAACCCCTCCCCGAAGGGGAAGAAGGGGGGTTGAGAACAGAGAGAGCTCGCTAAACCACTCACGCCCAAAGGGCTGGTGGGACTCATATTGTCACGGGTTGAGTTTCTCCGCCAGCCTGTCAGATGTGCATTCCCTGGCCAATTTGGCCCACTCCACCATATCAAGTCCATCGCGATGTTCACTCTTTCGACATGCAGCACCACCCCACCACCAGCTACGATTAATTGGCGACCCTCACTGCTGGAGGAACGCTCCGGCCCGGCAATCATCGTGGACTTCTACGGCACGGAGGAGGTGAGCGTCCATGGCATGCTCAGGAATCTGGCGCTCCCTGGCTTGATTCGTTGGGATGGCCCGTGGCGCAGTCTTGGCAGCAAGGGCCCGGTACAGCGACTCTACTTCGTTGGGTTCTTTGACGAGCGCTACGTCACGGACCTGGACATGCGACTATATGTGGACCACTTGAAGAACCATGACCCATTAAGCAAGGCATTAATCGAGCGACGTGCGCTGTACACAGACCGCACGGCCATGGTGGTCAACATGGGGTCGCCGACGTCATTTGTGGCCATGAGCGACTGGGTGGACGAGGTGGTGCTCGTCTCGGCACGTCGGGCATTGCTCGCGACAACGTGGTCGGCGGAACACTGGGCCCAGGAGCTCAGCGACCAGAACACGGTCACCCCGCAGGATGCTATCACGAGGGTGCGGCACCGCCCATCGATTTTGGGCGGCCGAACGTGGGCGAAACCGCATGCCTTGCCATCCACGCGCGCCGCATCTCTTTATCCACTGCAATCATCGTATCGGATGCCCCCTCGGGTCACCCGGACTCCCTCCTCGACCGCCTCATGGTGCAGATCTCGGCGCTCACCGGCACACCCTGGCAGATGCAGCAAGAGGGAGGGCCTTTTCGACCTCGCCGTTGGCGCAGCGAGAACACACGCCTCATTACGGTCCAGTGCGGCACGATTGACGACCTGAATCAGCTCTACAATTTCGTGCACAGTACCAGCATGGAGATCGACGGCATGCCGTGCTCGGTCGAAGCCGAGAATCTGCATCACGACGCCCCTCCAGCACCCCCCAACCCAACCTACACTGCCGCTCCATCCCCGGAGCCCCCCCTCGAGGTGGCCATGGACGGCGCGCTCGGGACCTGACGCGGCTGCCGCTGTGCATCCGAATTCGTGCGTTTCTCCCGCCGCACTTGCATGGCCGCTCCCGCCGCACTCACCACACCTCTGCGATCCCACGTCCTCCCACCTACGCCCCTCCTCCCCTGACCCCGCCAGCAGAGCCCCCACCCCCCCCTGAACCTCGTGGTGGAAACCATGCTCGAATCAACGCGACCTCAAGCGACAACAGATCCCACAGTCCGGTTACTCCATCAAGGACCACTTGCCCAGCCCCCCCCCAGCCGCCAATACAGGACGACCCAGCGGCGACCCTACAGTACCATGCCGGACCAGACGATATCCCAACGATCTGTGAAACTACTTCGTCTCCAATGCGCCCCACGCGACCCCCGACCCGACGCCCCCGAGCCGATCGACCCGACTTCCGAGGACCCGACGCAGCGCGCAACGATCACTGGCCAACAGACCGACCGCTCCAGCACTGACCCAGAATGCCACAGGGCCCCGGCGCGCCCTCCCACTTTCCCAACCCTCCCCAACGCGCCCCACCATCTTGCCGCCCCCGCCGCCGCCAACGCTGGGCCGAGGACTCCAGCGAGCCCCGCCGCCTCCCCAACCCTCCCCAACCCGCGCCCCGCCACTGCTCCAACCCCTGCGCACTCAACGCAGACAAACTCTACGAAAAGACAGAGTCCAAAACGCCCCCCCCGATCTCCCTCCTACGCCTCCCCCTCCGACACTTCCACCAGCCGACTTCCCATGCGCAGGAGGCTACCGAGGCGCTTATTGGAACTCCCAGGCCCTCTTCGCAGCCGACCCCAACGCTCAGCAGGACAAGCAGCGACATGCATGGAACATCACTCCGGTTTCTTCGGTGCTCACTGCAGTACTGGATGGACGTCGCGCCCCCCCGCCGCCGCCATTTTGAACTGATTCTGGGCAGCGGGCCCGCCTCCAGTTTGCCCGCTGTCCCCCGCTGTGCTTTTTTGATAGTGAAAGACGATCCAGCCCGCCGACG